GCGCGGTAGCGAGTGTCACTAGTGCGGAGGTGCGTAATGAGGTCAGCGGCTGTGGGAAAGGCAGCAAGGCCAGGGAAGAGGTACGGTAGCATGAGGCGGCTCAGTGCAGCAGTGGCAGGGGAAGAGTAGCGCGCAACTACAGCGTGGTACAAGGTCTGAGCACTCTTGTACTGACTAAAGTGCGTGCGCTCAGTGGTAGGTAAGTGGCGACGCACAGCAAGACGTGCAGCAGCATCACGCGTGGCCCACTGAGAGCGAACAGTGGGGTCAGCATCAGCAGCAGGGGCAGGAGAGGCGCCAGAGGTGAGGTCAAAGAGGGAGAGACCGTCTGCCCTATCGCAATGTAGGAAAAGCTGCAGGTCATCTACCCAAACCTCAAAGTCAATGGCTCGACCCTCAGCGTCAAAGGCTAGAACACTAGGGGTAGCCATGACAGCAGTAGACTCGCAGTACCAACTGTAGGACAGGGGCAGTGCAGTGACAGAAGCGCTGCTCTCGCCGGACAGGGCGGGTCGGGCAGCTCAGCAGTACAACAACACGGTAACACGGCTGCTCGGAAGGCTCAGCAGCAATTGCGGCTCCGTGGTGCCAGCGGCTCCGCTCCTCAGGCGGCTCGGGCGGCTCAGGCGGCTCGGACGGCTCGGGCGGCTTGGGCGGCTCGGGCGGCTCGGGTTGGTCAGGCGGCCCGGGCGGCTCGGGAGAATTGGGCGGCTCGGGCGGCTCGGGCAGGTTGGGCAGGTCGGGCAGCTCGGGCGGCTCGGGCGGTTCGGGCGGCTCGAGCGGCGCGGGCGGTGTAGGGCGGCAGGGCTGGTGGTGCGAGGGGCGGCGGGGCCGCTGAGAAGGGCGGCGGGGCCGCATTTGAAGGGCGGCGGGGCCGCTGAGTAGGGCGGCGGGGCCGCTAAGAAGGGCGGCGGGGCCGCTGCGGAAGGGCGGCGGGGCCGCTGAGTAGGGCGGTGGGGCCGTAGTAGAAGGGCGGCGGGGCCGCTGATTAGGGCGGCGGGGCCGCTGAGTAGGGCGGCGGGGCCGCTGAGTAGAGCGGCGGGGCCGCTGAGTAGAAGGGCGGCGGGGCCGCTGAGTAGGGCGGCGGGGCCGCAACGAGGGAGGCAGCGGGGCCGCAGCGAAGGGCGGCGGGGCCGCTGAGATGGGTGGCGGGGCCGCAATGTGGGGCGACGGGGCCGCCGAGAAGGGCGGGGCCGCAGCGACGGGCGGCGGGGCCGCGGAGACGGGCGGCGGGGCCGCAATGCGGGGCGACGGGGCCGCTGAAAAGGGCGGGGCCGCAGCGACGGGCGGTGGGGCCGCTAAATTGGGCGGGGCCCGCTGAGAAGGGCGGCGGGGCCGCACTAAAGGGCGGCGGGGCCGAATCGACGGGCGGCGGGGCCGCTAGGGGAAGGGGCCGCTAGGGCGATAGGGCCGCTAGGGCGTAGGTGTCAAACATTATATTTGTTGTGTTGGTTTAGGCTACAGTGGGTTAGCCTATAGGGGGTACACAATTCTAGGGTTAGGTACTTGTACTCATTTCACAGTTAGTTCATTCATTTTTGTTCATTGATTCCAACATGGTATAGAGCAGGTCCTTCCTAGGACCGAAATTTTCTAAGGGCCCACCACTACGTAACTACCTACCTACCTACCTACTTGTGCCCTAGGGCGCCTCGGCGTGTCACGCCCCTAGAGGCCCCGTCGGCCCCACACCCGCTCTCCCTAGCGGCCCCGTTCAGGCCCCGTCGGCCCCTTTAAAGCCCCGTTGAGGCCCCGCGCTAGCCCCGTTCAGGCCCCGTCAGCCCCGTTTCAGGCCCGGTCGGCCCCGCGCTAGCCCCTCTCAGGCCCCGTCGGCCTGCGCTAGCCCCGTTTCAGGCCCCGTCGGCCCCGCGCTAGCCCCTCTCAGGCCCTGTCGGCCCGCGCTAGCCCCTCTCAGGCCCTGTCGGCCCGCGCTAGCCCCGTTTTAGGCCCCGTTGGCCCCATTTCAGGCCCCGTCGGCCCCGCGCTAGCCCCTCTCAGGCCCCGTCGGCCCACGCTAGCCCCGTTTCAGGCCCCGTTGACCCCGCGCTAGCCCTGTTCAAGCCCCGTCGGCCCCTTGCTAGCCCCTTCAAGGCCCCGTTTGGCCCCGCGCTAGCCCCGCTCAGGCCCCGATTGGCCCCGCGCTCGCCCCTCTAGGGCCCCAACCGGCCCCGTGCCGACCTCGCCGACCCATGCCCACCACCTAGAGGCCCCGGGCGGCCTGTTCCCGCCGCAGCACACGAGGGAGAGCGGGCGGCCCGTCCCCGCCGTGACCCGAGCCGCGCGACCCGAGCCGCACGCCCCGAGCCGAGCCGCGCGCCCCGAGACAAGCCGCGCCACCCAGCCGAGCCGAGACCCGACCTGAATCGAGCTGCGCCGCCCTGCCCTACCTGGTTCGTCCTACCTGCTTCTCCTACTACTATTGCTGCTATTTCTACTGTTCCTATGGCTAGCCCATAGGTTCTCGTGTTCGATGCTGAAGGCCGCCCTGTGAAGTTTGACACCTGGCTCGATGACCTGCACCTCTACCTACAGCTCACAGCCAAGGATGACATCTCACTGTACGATCACGCCCTAGGCCATGTCACTGCCCCTGCTGCTACTGCTGACAGCACTGCTCGCTCACAGTGGCAGACTTGTTATGCCCAAGCTCGCTTCGCCATTCGCAACTCCTTGCCGATAGACGAACGCGAGCACTTTGGTCAGCACAAGACTGCATAGGCACTGTACACAGCTGTAGTTGCTCGCTACTCCTCACCTGCCTCTGCCGCACTAGGCCGTCTCTCCCTCCCCTACCTGTTTCCTGACCTGGCCTCCTTTCACACAGTCGCTGACCTCATCACGCACCTCCGTACTAGTGAGGCCCGCTTCCATGCCGCCATGCTTGCTGAGTTCCTTGCCACGCACCCCCCTCCACTCTGGCTCACTCTCTACCACCTGGTCACCCGCCTCCCTGTCGCTGAAGGAGCTACTTGCAGCAGAGACTAGCATAGTCGCTGTAGGTGCCTCTCGTGGCGACCCCCGTACCCCATTCTTTGAGGGGTGTTCTCCTTCCCCCCTTCTTCCCTCTGTCGCCTCTGCTGCTGCTGTCGACCTTCTTGGTACCGAGAAGGTTGGCGCTGCGTCTGCCTCGAGCGGACGCCGCAGCGGCAAGGGCAAAGGGGGCAAGGGTGGTGGCGGTGACGGCGGGGGAGGCGGCGGTGGGGGCGGTGGAGGCAGTGGGGGTGGTGGCTTGGCTGGAGGGGCGAGTGGTAGCAGTGGGGGTGGTGGCGGCAGCGGCGGGGGAGGTGGCAGGAGTGGAGGCGGCGGTTGGGGTGGCGGTGGACGAGGCGGCGGCAGGGGTTGGGGTGGTCGAGGAGGTGGCAGCGGTGGTGGTGGCCGTGGAGGCACTGGCGGTGGCCAGGGCCAGCAGCACACTCCGTCGCCCCAGGAGGTCCGTGAGTGGTACTCTCAGCACGGGGGTGGGGGTGGTCTTAGCTGCACGTACGTCATTTGCACTGGTGACCACACTGGTCAGCAGTGTGGACGACCGCACGCCACACAGCGCTGCTTCTCTCGTCTCGACGTCGCTTGGCGTGTTCAGTTCCCTCAGGCCACTGAGCTGCCCCGCTGGCTTGATCTCCTGAAGAAGGGGATTGATAACTATGCTCTAGACTTTGATGCTATTCTATCTGCCATGTATGTGATGTCCACTAGTGGAGAGGGTGCTGAGTACTTGTGTATGCCGCCCGACCCGGGCATTAGGGCCAGTGCGTCTGCCGCTCCAAGTACTCGCGTGTCGGCTACCCCAGGTGCTGGTGAGGCTGCTGCTCTAGGTGCTCGTGTGTCTCCCCCCCTTGATACTGCGTCGACTGCCGCATTGCACACCTTCACACTGGACTCAGGTGCTTCTCGCTGCTTCTTTCGTGACCGCACTGCCCTTGAGCCGCTTGCTCGGCCAGTTGCTGTCTCCCTTGCTGACCCCTCTGGGGGTCCGGTCATTGTGACCTCTTCCACTGTCCTTCCCTGCCCTCCGGTCCCGTCGGGCACACTGTCAGGTCTCCACCTCCCCTCATTCTCTACGAACTTGGTGGCAGGATGTGCACTCCAGGACGGGGGTGTTCACCAGTTCACCCCTGCCTACGAGCGCGTGACACACTGCACGTGTGCTCGTACGGGCCGTCACTTGGCTACCTTCACTCGGCAGCCGGGGTCGGACCTGTACACACTGACTACTGAGTCCCCTCAGGTTGCTGCGACTGCGTCCGCGTCAGGTCAGCTGTCCGCCCCCTGCTCGTGTCGCTCTTTGGCACACGAGACTGTCCTTTGGCACCACCGCCTTGGCCACCCGTCTGTGCAGCGGCTTCGTGCCATGCACTCCCGGTACCTTGTCTCTGGCCTGCCCAGGGTCCTTCCTGCCCTCCCACCCTCGCTTGCTCCTACTTGTCTCCCCTGTGTCAAGGGACGGCAGCGCGCCGCTCCTCACTCCTCCTCGTTCCCCCCGACGACTGCTCCCTTGCAGACACTCCACATGGACGTGTGGGGCCCAGCCCGCGTCCGTGGTCAGGGTCAGGAGAGGTACTTCCTAATAGTTGTTTACGACTACTCGCGCTACACCTCGGTCTTCCCCTTGCGCACCAAGGGTGAGGTCCCTGATGTCTTGATCCCTTGGATCCGCAGAGCCCGTCTCCAGCTCAGCGAGCGTTTTCACTCGGACTTTCCTGTCCTGCGCTTGCACTCTGACAGAGGTGGTGAGTTCTCCTCCGACCTCTTGGCATCCTACTGTGTTGAGCACGGCATTGAGCAGTCGTTCACGCTTCCGGCTTCTCCACAGCAGAATGGGGTTGCGGAGCGCCGCATTGGCCTGGTCATGGAGGTCGCCCGTACCTCCTTGATCCATGCGGCTGCCCCCCAGTTTTTGTGGCCGTTTGCGGTCCGGCACGCTGCGCATCAGCTCAACCTCTGGCCCCGTGTCTCCTTGCCGGAGACCTCGCCCACGCTGCTGTGGACGGGGGAGGTTGGCGATGCGTCGCGTTTCCGGGTCTGGGGGTCTCGAGCTTTTGTCCGCGATTCGTCTGCGGACAAGCTCTCCTCCCGTGCTGTTCCTTGCGTCTTCCTCGACTTTGTCCCGGACGCGTCTGGTTGGCAGTTTTACCACGCCACCTCGCGCCGACTCTTGCCCTCCCAGGACGTCACTTTTGACGAGTCCGTCCCCTACTACCGCCTCTTCCCCTACCGCACTGCCCCGCTCCCCCCCCCCCCGCCTCTCTTCCTCGCGCCAGGTGCTGCTGTTGCAGACCCCCTCCCCCCTCAGGGTGCCGCTCCCTCAGGTGTGTCTCAGGTAGACCCGGTTGAGCCTGTTGAGGTAGTTGTCGACTCTCGTCCTGCTGGGGGTGCTGAGCCTGGGGGTGCTGAGCCTGGGGGTGTGGAGCCTGGGGGTGTGGAGCTTGAGGGTGCTGAGCTTGGGGGTGTGGAGCCTCGTGGTGCTGAGCTGCGGAGTCCGGAGTCTGGGGGCTCTGACTCTGGAGGTACTAGGCCTGGGAGTCCTGCACCTGGAGGAGCCCTCTCCTCGGAGCACCTGCGTGCATGGTACTTAGAGTACTGCAGCCTCCGGAGAGGTACCGCTCGAGCCGGACGTACTACTGGGACTGGTGCTAGTGCTTCTTCTCCCGTTCGGGAGCTCCCCACCCGCGAGCGGATACGTGAGTGGTACGAGCGGCGCTGCATTCTTTGGAGTGGCGTGCCTCGTGTTACGGACCCCGCTGCTGTTGGAGCAGCTGCTGGTGCTGAGGACCCGGGCGTTGGAGCTGCTGCTGGTGCTGAGGACCCGGGCGTTGGAGCTGCCGCTGGTGCTGAGGACCCGGGCGTTGGAGCTGCTGCTGGTGCTGAGGACCCGGGCGTTGGAGCCGCTGCTGGTGCTGAGGACCCGGGCGTTGGAGCTGCTGCTGGTGTTGAGGACCCAGGCGTTGGACCCGTTGGAGCTGCTGCTGGTGCTGAGGACTCGGGCGTTGGAGCTGCTGTCGGTGATGAGGACCCAGGCGTTGGAGCTGCCGCTGGTGCTGAGGACCCGGGCGCTGGAGCTGCTGCTGGTGCTGAGGACCCGTGCGTTGGAGCCGCTGCTGGTGCTGAGGACCCGGGCGTTGGAGCTGCTGCAGGTGTTGAGGACCCAGGCGTTGGAGCTGCCGCTGGTGCTGCGGACCCGGGCGTTGGAGCTGCTACTGGTGCTAAAGACCCGGGCGTTGGAAGTGCCGCTGGTGCTGAGGACGTGGGCGCTAGAGCTGCTGCTGGTGCTGCGGACCCTGATGCGGGTGTCCCTGCTGGCTCTGGTATCGCTACTCGGTCTCGGCCGTACTTTGTTCCGCTCCTTCAGCAGGTTCTTAGTCAGCTTCCTCCTCCTTTTCCTCCTCCCTCCTTAGCGTGTCCTCCGCCTGTCCAGCTGCAGTCTGCGTTACCGTTTGCCTCCTCTCTCCCTGGTCCTGCTCCTTACACTGGTCCAACTCGAGGTCTTACTGAGCGGCGTAAGCCTGCGTCTCATCCTGCGTCGCCAAAGTCTCGTCCTGAGTCGCCTGTCCGCACTACTCTCTCTAGTAGTCGAGTCCAGCGTCAGCGTTTTCCTGCTGTCCCAGGCACTCACCGGATGGCGCTTCGTCCGTCCACTGCTCCACAGCGTGTCCCACTGCCGTCTCCTCCTGCTTCCTCTCTTCCTGCTCTTGCTGACCCTGGGTCAGATTCTCTTCGTGCTACCAGTCCTACTGTCACGCGTCTCCTAGCTACTATTGTCACTGACCCTTCCTTTGAGTCTGCTGCTGCGTCTGCCTTAGTTGCTGAGCTTGTCGACTTTGGTGCTCGCTATCGTCTAGACTACGCTGCTAGCCTAGTTGCTGAGTCTGAGTCTGTCTGTCCTCCGTGCGTCGGGGGTGAGTGTGCTCTTGGCACTGACGTCCTTGAGGACAGGCAGGAGGAGTTTGGGTGCTTTGCTGCCGCTTTGCCCCATCTCGTGTCCATGCTTGTTGCCCCTGAGGGAGACCCGGATGCACCAGACATCCCGACCCTAGCTCTTACACAGAGGCGATGGCCGGTCCCTACTCCTCTCAGTGGCAGTCAGCCATGGACACAGAGATGGCTTCCTGGAAGTCCACAGGCACCTACGTCGACGAGGTTCCCCCACCTGGGGCGAACATCGTCAGTGGCATGTGGATTTTCAGGGTGAAGCGGCCGCCGGGCTCTCCGTCTGTCTTCAAGGCGCGTTACGTTGCACGAGGCTTCAGTCAGCGACAGGGAGTTGACTTCTTCCAGACCTTCTCCCCGACCTCGAAGATGACCACTCTTCGGATTCTGCTACACGTCGCCGCTCAGCAAGACTACGAGCTCCACTCGCTTGACTTCAGCACTGCTTTCCTGCAGGGCAGCCTGCACGAGGAGATCTGGCTGCGCCGTCCACCTGGCTTCACTGGGTCGTTCCCTCCTGGTACCCAGTGGAGCCTCCGACAGCCATTCTACGGTCTCCGCCAGGCGCCTCGTGAGTGGCACGACACACTGAGGACTACGCTTGCGGCTCTTGGGTTCGCGCCTTCTACTGCTGACCCGTCGCTGTTTCTACCCACCGACACCTCACGGCCGCCGTTCTACGTCCTTGTGTACGTCGACGACTTGGTCTTTGCTACTAAAACACTGTGGCACTCGGCCACGTGAAGTCGGAGCTGCAGAAGAGACACACGTGCACATACCTGGGTGAACTGACAAGCTATCTTGGCTTGCGGATCACCCGGGACCGAGCACGCTGCACCATCACCTTGACTCAGTCACACATGGTGCAGCAGGTCCTTCAGCGCTTCCGCTTCACGTAGTCCTCGCCTCAGCCCACTCCTCTGCCTACCGGTCACTCGCTCTCAGCTCTGCCTTCGGATGAGTCTGTAGAGCTGAGTGGCCCGTATCCAGAGCTTGTGGGTTGCCTCATGTACCTGATGACCTGCACTCGACCAGACCTTGCATACCCTCTCAGCATTCTTGCACGCTATGTCGCTCCCGGCCGTCACCGGAAGGAGCACATGGATGCAGCTAAGAGGGTGTTGCGCTACTTGTGCAGTACGTCGGGCATGGGGCTAGTGCTTGGAGGGCGAGTCCCAGTTATTCTCACTGGGCACTCAGACGCTTCTTAGGCAGACGACCAGGCTACTCAGCGGTCGTCTCAGGGTTACTCCTTCAGTCTTGGCTCTGGTTCTGTTTCTTGGCGTTCTACTCGCTCTTCTTCTGTTCTCAGCTCCAGTTGTGAGGCTGAGATCTACGCCACAGCCATGGTGGCCCAGGAGCTACGCTGGCTCACCTACTTGCTGACCGACCTTGGAGAGCAGCCTCGTTCTCCTCCAGTGCTGTACGTCGACAACAAGGCAGCCATTGCCTTGTGTGAGGAGCACAGACTGGAGCACAGAACAAAGCACATTGCTCTGCGTTACTTTCTTGCTCGAGAGCTGCAGCAGCGTGGTCAGCTTCGCCTGCGTTACATGGCCTCTGAGGCCAGCACTGCTGATGTGTTCACCAAGGCGCTTCAGCCTTGTGACCATTAGCGCTTTTGCACTCTTCTAGGCCTTGTGCCTACTGGACCTCACTTGCTTACTTCTTGAGTCTGTTTGTACTGTGATCTCTATGTATATACCTGCATGTTTACTCTTGTTAGGTTGTGATCATTGTACCTTTTGCTCTATTATAAACCTGCATGTGAACTGGTCTTGTGACCACTTGCTTGTGCTCGGAATTTGTGTGGTATCCTTGAGATCCACCCTGAGCTTGTTTTGCCTTGCTTTGCCTTGACTGGTCTTGTGACCCCTAGTCCTCCCCCACTTTGCCTATGGGGGTGTGTCAAACATTATATATGTTGTGTTAGTTTAGGCTACAGTGGGTTAGCCTATAGGGGGTACACAATTCTAGGGTTAGGTACTTGTACTAATTTCACTGTTAGTTCATTCTTTTCCGTTCATTGATTCCAACAGTAGGGGCCGCTAGGGCGGCTCGGCGAGGTGAGAGCCCGGAGCGCGACTCGGCCGGAGCGCGCTTCGGACAGGAGAAAAAAAAAATGAAACTTGATGTGGTGGGCCCTAGGCACAGTTCCCAAGGGGGAACCTGCTCTGATACCATGAGGTAAGTAGAACGAGAATGGGTTGACTATGGAATGAAAGTGATACAAATATGCAACCTTAGAAATGTGTACCCCATATGGGCTACCCCACTAAAGCCTAGACAACATTATAATTTGACAGTAGGAGGATTATTTCGAGGCTTGTATAATGTCTCCTGAGCCTAGATGTCTCCTCTAAGCCTTGGCAGCTGTGTAAGCTTCACATGTGGGCAACGGGGAGCCTTAACACTGTGCTGCGGGGAGAGAATATTAACTCCACGGAACGCACGACCCTTTTCTACGCTCCGTAGTACTTTGCCCAACTTCTCAGGTACCTGAAATTTTTTTTAAGGCTTTTTCTTGGCCTCTAAACCTCCCCTGAATTTTTCAAAGGCTTGAAAATCACGAGAAGCAATATTCTTCGTTAGAGTATCTTTATACGATACTTTTAACGAATTCTTACTTTCGTGGGTGTTCGGCTGGAGTTTCCCGGTCGGTGCAAAGTCTTTTTTAGCGGAGCCCCCATTCGCCTCGGCGATTTCCCCTGATGCCGCCCGGTCGTGACGTTTTAGATTCGCGCCATCATTTTCTCCTTTTTTCACCCGCTCTGAAGTTGCCACGTCATCGCCTTTTCCTGCTTTCCGGATCTTTACGCGATCACCAGGTCGATCCACGGCTACTGGCGATTGCCGTTTTTTTACTTCTAGGGTGCTCCACTGTTACCGTCCTGCAATGCCGCACGTGTTTTCTTCATTTTGTAGCACGATAAAATCTGATGCCTTGCTGCGCCGCAAAACTCGCATTTTGTCGGCTGCTGCTTCGCGTTGTATTTGTTGATGTCCATGGGTTCGGCGAACGTGGGTGGTGCCAATCGTTCCGTGCCGAATGTACGGTTTGGCGTGAAGCGTCGTGTTTCGGGTTGACCTCGAATCAGCGCGTCGTATCGCTCAGCAACACGCACGATGTCTCTGTAGCTGTTGTAATTCGCCGCAATCACCTGCCGCCGAATCTCCATTTTTAACCTTTCTGTGTATGCTTGGATTTTTTTGCCTTCGGTCAGGTCGGTGATGCGGTTGAACAATAACTCCATCTGATGCATGTACTGTGCTACACTACTGTATTGCTTGTGTCGGTGTATCTGCTGCCGCGCCATATAGGTCATATTAATCGGTTCGAAACGTTCGATTCAATCTGCCCGAAACTGCTGCCACGTTTTCTCCCCGCGGCCTACGTCGGTGTAGTAAATCCATTCGAGTGCTGGTCCACGTAACAGTGTCGCTGTGAGCCGAATCCGTGCTATGTCGTGTTGCGGGGTCGAACAGCCAATGGCCTCGAAGAAAATTTCGAGGGTTGCCACGAATCGCCGGACGTCGGATCCCTTCGCGCTTAGATCGAACGCCTCATGGAGCCTCGGTCGTGCTGCTTCGAGGTTCGGAGACACTGGTGCCATCGGTCCGTGAAATGTCGGTGTCGCCACCGTCGTTGTATTAACTCATAGCCTGCGGCTAAGTGTGAATTGCACAGCAGCTTAAGGTGAGGTTGTACTATATTGCTGTTTGGTTCTTGTACTCATACTTACGTTTGTGTGCTTGGAATGTACTGTACATATATGGAGCCGAGCAGGGTGGAGAAGCACGAGGAATTTGGTGGGGACAGGGTGGAATTCGATTCCAGGCTGGGAATTCGATTCCAGGCTGGGAATTCGATTCTAGGCTGGGAATTTGGTTACAGGCTGGGAATTCGATTCAGAGAATGCAATTCCAGCTGGAAGTCGGTGCATGCCTAGTGGGCCACTGGGACCCAGCTAGCACCTAGAAGCTATCGCGAGCAGCACTGCTGCTATGCGACTTGGCAACTAGAGTTAGCTTGTAGGACAAGCAACCTAGGCAGAAGGATGGCTGGGACTTAGGCAGGGGAGGATACCTGCACCGTGCTTTTTGCTTGTTTGTTTCTCGTAATACTGCAATTCGTTTCCCAACCAAGGAGGCAAGCAGCTAGGAGAAGCTAACAGCAAACTGACGGAGCCCTTGCGAGGGAGGATTTAGACTTGTTGCAAACAAGCAAAAAGGTAGCGGTAGAGAAGCGTACGGGCGCAGAGGCCCGGTGTTAGCCACGGCGTCAGGGCCGTGAGGCAAGAGCGATATGGATCCAGATCTACACATCCATCAGTTGCGGTCGGGACAGAGGTCTCCCGCTAGGACTATGGAAGGTCGGAAAGAGCCGCCTGTGAAGCCTGGATTCCGTGCAGATGGAGGAGTTAATTGTCAAACTCTTATACTATAGTTTGTGTAGACTATATGGGGTACAACACTTCTAGGTTTTCCTACTAAAACCAAACCTGCTTGCTAGTTCATTCATTCCTCATTCTTCACATGATATAGAGCAGGTTCAATAGTGGGAATGCTTCCTTGGGCCCACCACTGAAAATTTCCTTTTTGACCGGAGCGCCAGTCACTCCTGCCCGAGGCGCGCCTTTTTTGCCGCCCTTTCCAGGACCCTAGTAGCCCCTAGCGGCCTCGTTGCCGCCCCTCACGCGGCCCCGTTACCGCCCCTACACGGCCCCGTCGCCGCCCTTAGCGGCCCCGTTGCCGCCCCTAGCGGCACCGTCGCCGCCTCTCACCCTACGCGGCCCCGTCGCCGCCCCTACGCGGCCCCGTCGCCGCCCCTCCGCGGCCCCGTCGTCGCCCTTAGCGGCCCTGTTGCCGCCCCTAGCGGCCCCGTCGTTGCCTCTCACCCTACGCGTCCCCGTCCTCGCCTCTCACCCTACGCGGCCCTGTCGCCGCCCCTACGCAGCCTCGTCGCCGCCCCTAGCGGCCACGTCGCCGCCCCTATCGGCCCCGTCGCCGCCTCTCACCCTACACGGCTCCGACGCCGCCTCTCACCCTACCCGGCCTCGTCGCCGCCCATACGCGGCCCCGTCGTTGCCCCTAGCGGCCCCGTCGCCGCCCCTACTGGCCCCGTCGCCGCCTCTCACCCTAAGCGGCCTCATCGCCGCCCCTAAGCGGCCCCGTCGCCGCCCCTAAGCGGCCCCGTTGCCGCCCCTACGCGGCCCTGTCGCCGTCTCTAAGCGGCCCTGTCGCCGCCACTACACGGCCCCGTCGCCGCTCCCCTCCCTAAGCGGCCTCGTCGCCGCCCCTAGCGGCCCCAGCGCCGCCCCTACCAAGCAGCCCAGCAGCAGAGCCGCGGAGCCGCCCAGCAGCCGAGCCGCCGAGCCGCCCAGCAACCGAGCCGCCGAGCCGCCCAGCAGCCGAGCCGTCGAGCCGCCGAGCAGGCGAGCCGCCCAGCAGCCGAGCCGCCCAGCAGCCAAACCGCCGAGCCGCTCGACAGCCGAGCCGCCCAGCAGCCGAACCGGTGAGCAGCCGAGCCGCCTTGCCGTCGAGCCGCTTCTCGTCCTACCGGCGCGCCCCTGCCCTACTTCCTCACACTCGTGAGCTCACTCCTTGCTAGGCCACTGCAGTCATGGCTACCCCCAATATTCTTACCTTTGATACTGAGGGTCGTGCTGTTGACTTTGAGGTCTGGGTCGATGACCTCCAGCTGTTCTTCCTGTGCGATAGGGCAGACAACCTCTCCCTGTTGGACCTCACCTCTGGTGCCTCCCCTGCCCTGCCTGCTACTGCTGACAGCACTGTTCGGTCACAGTGGGCGACACGCAATGCTGCTGCCCGTCTTGCTGTGTAACGCCACTTACCGACCATTGAGCGTGCGCACTTTAGCCAGTACAAGAGTGCTCAGACCTTGTACGACGCTGTAGTTGCACGCTACTCTTCCCCTGCCACTGCTGCACTGAGCCGCGTCATGCTACCGTACCTCTTCCCTGACCTTGCTGCCTTTCCCACGGTCGCTGACCTCATTACGCACCTCCGCACTAGTGACACTCGCTACCGCGCTGCGCATCCTACTGAAATCTGCGCCAAGAACCCCCACCCCCCACATGTACATCACCCTCTACTACATAGTCACCCGGCTCCGCAACTCTCTTCGCTTAGTCAGGGACCACTTCCTCTCAGTTTGCCCCACCACACTCACCGTTGACCTCTTCGAAGAGCGCCTCCTAGCAGCAGAGAAGAGCATAGTCGCTGTAGGAGCCTCTCGTGGTTACCCTCGCACCCCCGTCTTTGAGGGATGTTCCCCCTCCCCCCTCTTGCCCTCTGTTGCTTCTGCTGCTGCGGCCGACCTCGTTGGTTTCTACGGGGTCCGCGCTGCGTCTGCCCCTAGCGGGAGACGCCGCACCAGCAAGGGCAAGGGGGCAAGGGAGCTGGAGGGGCTAGCGGGGGCAGTGGAGGTGGTGGTGGAGGAAGTGGAGGGGGTGGGGGTGGTGGTGGGAGTGGTGGCGGGGTTGGCGGCGGCGGTGGCAGCAGTGGAGGCGGAGGAGGCAGCGGTGGTGGCGGAGGGAGCGGAGGCGGCGGAGGTGGCGGAGGCAGCGGAGGTGGCGGAGGCGACGGCGGCAGCGGCGGTGGAGCTGGTCGCGACTCTGCGCAGAGGAGTGGGTCCGGTGGTGGTCTGCCCCAGCAGGAGCAATGCACTCGTGAGACCCTGTCCCCTCAGCAGCTTCGTGAGTGGTACACTGCGCGTTAGCGCGGTGGGGGTACTGGTCCTTGCACTTACGTCCTCCGTACCGGCGACTGCGCTGGTGAGCAGTGCGGGGGCCCGCACTCCACCCAGCGCTGCTTCGGCCGCCTGACGGATGTGTGGCGTCACCAGTTCCCTGAGGCATTAGAGATCCCTCGCTGGGGAGATCTGTCTAGGGCGGGGGTTGCCATCTTTGATCTTGTTTATGATGCTATCCTTGCTGCCATGTATGTTGTGTCTACTAGTGCTGAGGGTGACTGTTACCTATGTGTATCGCCTGACCCGGGCTTTGAGGCGACTGCTCTAGGTGCTGGTGAGGCTGCTGCTCTATGTGCTAGTGCGCCTGCTGCCCCAGGTGCTAGTGTGTCTGCTGCCCCAGGTGTTAGTGAGTCTGCTCTCTCAGGTACTACGTCGGCTCAGGCCTTACACACCTTCACCCTTGACTCGGGTGCTTCCCGCTCCTTCTTTCGAGACCGCACCACGCTTACGCCAATTAGTCGGCCGGTTGCAGTCCCCTTGGCGGACCCCTCTGGGGGTCCTGTCCTTGCTAGCTTCTCAACTGTCTTACCGTGGCCGGCAGCCCCCTCTGGCACCCTGTCAGGTCTCTACCTCCCCTCTTTCTCTACGAACTTGGTGAGTGGAGCGGACCTACAAGATAGGGGGGTTGACCGGTTCACTCCTGCGAGTCAGCAGGTAACCCACTGCACGTGTGCTCGGAGAGGCCGACACTTGGCCACGTTCACCCGTCGGCCAGGGTTGAGCTTGTACACCCTTACTACTGAGTCTCCTCCGGCTGCTGAGTCTGGCCACGTAGCTGCGTCGAGTCAGGTGTTTGCTGCAGCGTCCAAGTCAAGTCCTGAGTCTGCTTCCTGCTCTTGTCGTCTCCTGTCCCACCAGACTCTCCTTTGGCACCACCGTCTTGGTCACCCCTCCCTGCCTCGTCTCCGAGGCATGGCCTCCCGTGTCCTTGTCTCTGGTCTCCCCCGGTCTCTCCCTCCCCTACCTCCGGGGCCTGCCCCTACCTGCGTCCCCTGCGTCGAGGGGCGACAGCGCGCCGCCCCCAACTCCTCCGAGTTTCCTGTGACAGAGGCTCCGCTGCAGACTCTCCACATGGACGTGTGGGGCCCTGCCTGCGTCCGTGGACAGGGGCACGAGTGTTACTTCCTGTTGGTGGTTGACGACTACTCGCGTTACACCACAGTCTTCCCCGTGCGCAGCAAGGGTGACGTCATTGAGGTGTTGATCGACTCGATCCGCGCAGCTCGTCTCCAGCTCAGGGAGAGTTTCGGCTCGGACTTTCGTGTTCTGCGTCTGCACTCTGACAGAGGCGGGGAGTTTTCCTCTGCCCGTCTGGGAGCCTTCTGTCGTGCACAGGGCATCCGCCACACCTTCACGCTTCCGAGCTCTACGCAGCAAAATGGGATTGCTGAGTGCCACATTGGCATGGTCATGGACGTCGCTCGTACGTCCATGATCCATGCGGTTGCCCCCCATTTTCTGTGGCCGTTTGCGGTTTAGTACGCAGCGCATCAGCTCAACCTTCAGCCCCGGGTCTCCTTGCCAAAGACCTACCCCACCTTGCGGTGGACAGGGAAGGTTGGCGATGCGTCTGCGTTTCGGGTCTAGGGATCTCGCGCGTTTGTTCGCGACTTGTCTGTCCCCCCGTGCTGTTCCCTGCGTCTTCCTTGGCTTCCCCCCTGACGCGCCTGGTTGGCAGTTTTACTACCCCACCTCGCGCCGTGTTCTGTCCTCCCAGGACGTCACCTTTGACGAGTCAGTACCTTACTACCGTCTCTTCCCCTACCGCACTGCACCCCTTCCCCCGATGCCGCTCTTCCTTGCGCCAGGTCTTCCCCCGGTAGACCCCCTCCCCCCTCAGGGTCCTGCCCTGTGAGGTGTGTCCCAGATAGACGCAGTCAAGCCCGTCGAGGTAGCTGTTGACTCTGGTGCTGTTAGAGCTGCTGAGCCTGCAGCTGCGAGGTCTGGGGGTGCTGAGTTGGGGGGTGCTGAGCCTGGGGGTGCTGAGTCTGGGGGTGCTGAGCCTGGGGGTGCTGAGTCTGGAGGTACTGAGCCTAGGGGTGCTGAGCCTGGGGGTGCTGAGTCTGGGGGTGCGCAGCCTGGGGGTGCGGAGCCTGGGGGTGCTGGGTCTGCTCGTGTGGCCGCCGGCGGTGCTTCGTCGAGGCGGGAGCCACTCTCTCCACAGGAGCTGCGCGAGTGGTTTGCCCGGCGCTGGAGCCCTGCTGCTGGAGCTGGAGGTACTACTGTTGCTGCTGGTCCCGAAGGGGCTCGTCCTGGAGGTTCTGGAGCTGCTGGGACTGGGGGTGCTGCTCGGGCTGCTAGAGGTACTGCTGAAGCTGCTGGCGGTACTGGAGCTACCCGTCCTACTGGAGGTGGTGCTGCTGGAGCTGCTGGAGCTGGAGCTACTGCGGGTGTTGGCGCTTGTGGTTTTGCTGGCGCTGGTGCTTTTGAGGGTGCTGGAGTTGGCGCCGTTGGAGCTGGAGGTGCTGCTTGCGCTGGTGCTGTCGCTGGAGGTACTGGTTCTGGAGGCGCAGTGCGGGCGCGGCTGTACTTCGTTCCGCTCCTTGCGCAGGTTCTTGGTCATCCGCCTTCTACTGGTCCTGCCCCTCCCTTAGAGTGTCCATCGCCTGTCGAGTCGCAGTCACAGTTACAGCCCGCCTCCTCCCTGCCTGCTCCTTCTCCCTACTCTGGTCCTACTGGAGGTCTGCTGAGCGTCGCGAGCCTGCGTCTCGTCCTGCGTCGCCTATTCGTGCTGCTCGCACTAGTGGTCGTACTGCGCGTCAGCGTCCTCCTGCGGTCCCACGCACACACCAGGTGGCACTACGTCCTTCCACTGCTCCTCTGCGTGTCCCGTTGCCGTCTCCTCCAGTGTCCTCTCTTCCTTCTCTTGCTGACCCGGAGTCTGACTCTCTTCGTGCTGCCAGTCCTTCTGTCACGCGTCTCCTAGCTACTGTTGTCAGTGACCCTTCCTTTGAGTCCACTGCTGCGTCTGCCCTAGTTGCTCAGCTTGTCGACTTCCCTGCTCGCTGTCGTCTAGACTACGCTGCTAGTCTTGTTGCTGAGTCTCAGTCTGTCTGTCCTCCGTCCGTCGGGGGTGAGTGTGCTCTTAGCACGGACGTCCTTGAGGGCATGCACGAGGAGTTCCAGTGCTTTGCTGGTGCTTTGCCTCATCTCGTGTCCACGCTGATTGACCCTGAGGGAGACCCGGATGCACCAGACATCCCGACTCCTCGATCGTACGCTGAGGCGATCGAGGGTCCCTACTCCTCTCAGTGGCAGTCAGCCATGGATGCAGAGATGGCTTCCTGGAAGTCCACAAGCATCTACGTCGACGAGGTTCCCCCACCTGGGGCAAACATCGTCAGTGGCATGTGGATTTTCAGGGTAAAGCGGCCGCCGGGTTTTCCGCCTGTCTTCAAGGCGCGTTACGTGGCTCGAGGCTTCAGTCAGCGGCAGGGAGTTGACTACTTCCAGACCTTCTCTCCCACCCCGAAGATGACCCCTCTTTGGGTGCTGCTGCACATAGCCGCTCAGCGCGACTACGAGCTTCACTCTCTTGACTTCAGCACTGCTTTCCTACAGGGCAGCCTGCACGAGGAGATCTGGCTACGCCGCCCACCTGGCTTCACTGGGTCGTTTCCCCCTAGTACCGAGTGGAGCCTCCGGCGGCCAGTCTACGGTCTCCGCCAGGCGCCCCGTGAGTGGCACGACACACTGAGGACTACACTTGCGGCTCTTGGGTTTGCTCCTTCTACAGCCGGCCCATCGCTGTTTCTGCGCACCGACACCTCTTTGCCGCCGTTCTACATCCTTGTGTACGTCGACGACTTGGTCTTTGCCACTGGTGACACTGCTGGACTTGCCCACGTGAAGTCCGAGCTGCAGAAGAGACACACGTGCACAGACCTGGGTGAACAGCGCAGCTACCTTGTCTTGCAAATCACTCGGGACAGAGCACAGCGCACCATTACCCTCACTGAGTCACACATGGTGCAGCAGGTCCTTCAGCGCTTCGACTTCACGTACTCCTCGCCTCAGGCCACTCCTTTGTCTACTCGCCACTCGCTCTCAGCTCTGCGTTCAGATGAGTCCGTAGAGCCGAGTGGCCCGTACCCAGAGCTTGTTGGCTGCCTCATGTACGTGATGACCTGCACACGACCAGGCCTACCATACCCTCTTAGCATCTTGGCACGCTATGTTGCTCCTGGGAGACACCGACCAGAGCACATGGCGGCAGCGAAGAGGGTGTTGCGCTACTTGTGCAGTACGTCACGCATGGGGCTAGTGCTTGGAGGGCGACGTCGAGTGGTCCTCACAGGTCACGCTGACGCTTCTTGGGCTGACGACCAGGCTCTGCAGCGGTCGTCACAGGGTTACACCTTCAGCCTTGGCTCCGGCTCTGTTTCGTGGCAGTCTACCCGCTCGTTTTCTGTTCTCAGCTCTAGCTGTGAGGCTGAGATCTACGCGAGGGCCATGGCTGCACAAGAGCTACGCTGGCTCACCTACCTGCTGACTGACCTAGGAGAGCCGCCTCGTTCTCCTCCGCTTCTGTACGTAGACAACAAGGCCATGTTGGCCTTGTGTCGGGAGCACTGAACGAAGCACATTGCTCTTCGCTATTTCCTTGCTCGTGAGCTGCAGCAGCGTGGTCAACTGCGCCTTTCTTACGTGGCCTCTGAGGCCAACACTGGTGATATCTTCACCAAGGCACTTCCGCCTTGTGATCATCAGCGCTTTTGTACGTTGCTAGGTCTTGTGCCTACTTGGCCTCACTTGCTCACTTCTTGACCTTGCTTGTACTGTGATCTTTTTATACCTGCACTTGCTTGTTTACCTATATATATCTGATCTTGCATGTGAATTGGCCTTATGGCCTTTGCTCCTGTGCTCGGACTGTGTGGTGACGTTGTGATGCACCCTGAGCTTGCTTTGGTTTGCTTGATTGGTCTTGTGACCTCTTGTTCTCCCCCACTTTGCCTATGGGGGTGTGTCAAACTCTTATACTATAGTCTGTGTAGGCTGTAGTGGGGTAGACTATATAGGGTACAACACTTCTAGGTTTTCTTACTTGTACCCACCTGCTTGCTAGTTCATTCATTCCTCATTCTTTACACTAATGAAAAGCTGGGAGGAAAGGGCCCTGATCTGCCGAAGGAGGGTGGGAATCGTCAGGAGAAATGGCCCACCTTGGTGCACAACTCGCCAGGACGACAGAGCGAGGCGAGATCTGGGCAGCAAGGATCGCAGCAAGGAATGCCTGAGCGTGGTGAGGCGCACAGACGGGAAGCAGAGCAGAACTTCAGAGAGGAGAATTTCCGCGGTCTATCCGGAGGGCGCAGCACCACAATGGGGCCCAAGCAAGGGGGTTGGCCTGCAGGAAGCAGAGAGAGGGAAGCCGCAAGCTGGGGGACAGGGAGGTCTATGAATACGGCGCCCCCGAAGATTGAGATACCAGACCGCTTCTCAGGGGCACCAGGTGAAGAGCCAACACTGAAGAACTACCTTATGATGATTGATGATATACAGTACACCTTGGAGAGAGAGGTGTTAGATCCGATAGATTTTTTCAGAGGATTGGGAAGGACACGGAAAAGGGATGCACTGACACACTACAGAGTGGAGCGTCAGGGGCTGCTGATGCAGTGCAAGAATGGGGACTTTGCGCAGGGAGAGATCACTGACCGATTTTTGGACACGTTGCGTGAGCAGTTCCCCTGCACTCAGGTGAGCGTATGATAGAGTTCCAAGACTTAAAAAGAGGACGGGCAGAGTCGCTGCTGGCATACTACAACCGGCTGCTGGAGCTCGCTGAGGATATGGGCTGCGTTGAGGAGCATACCTTGGTGACGAAATTCCTGGGGGGGTTGGAGGAGGAGCTGATGAATGAAATGAAAAAACGTCTGTACGCTTTGGGGATGAAGGCGAGACTCAGGCAGGTGTATCAAGTGGCGAAAGAAGTGGAGGAAGGGCGGAGGTTCTTTGAAGGCTTGAGAGGAGCAAGCTCCACCCGATCAAACGAGCGAAGGAGACCAGCCTGGGCAGCAGCTGAAGGAAGGAGGGGGGAGGAAGAACGAAGAGAGAAGCCCTGGGAAGACCCAAGGCAGTGCCATAAGTGTGGGGAAAAGGGGCATATACGGAAGGACTGCACAGTGGACATTTTATGCGACACCTGTGGCGTGGAGGGGCACTTCAGGCAAGACTGCCCCAAGGCTCCCACCTGCACCAACTGCGGCAAGAAGGGACACAGGAAAGAAAGGTGTTACAGCCGAGGAGAGAAGGAGAAAGGGAAGTCCGTGAGAGAGCTGCAGCTGGAAAGGGAGATGGCGAAATCAAAGGCACAGATGGAGAAGACTCAAGTCAGTGAGGATCCTGAGAAAGCGCTGCTAGCCTGGGAGGAAGACGAAGAAGAATCAGATGAGGAGGAACCGGAGTATGGTACGACGGCATTACAACCTAGACCACAGGAAGAGTTGGGGCTGAGGAGCAAAGGGGTAGACAGC